GGAATTGCTTTCTAATCCTTTTCATGGGTCTTTTTTTTTGGTAAATTGCTCTCTTATATAATAGATAATGACATTTGTTACAAAATGAAAGTAAAACCAATTAAATCTGCCTTATTGTACTTACAAAAGATTGATGTGTGGAAAGTCTAACAGCTTATTTGGGGATTTTCATCTAAAAGTGCCCTGCAATAACATTCTCTTGTGTTCTGGGAGTTAGCTGTAATAGAGAAGCTACTGCCTGCAGAGATGCTGAACTAAATTAAAGTATTGTGTGCTGGTATTCTAGCATCTGCCTCACACGTTAATCTCTGGAAAATGCTTGAAAATACCCTAAAGTAGCAGCCATTTCTTTGTTTAAGTTTGAAAGCTTTTTGTATCTGTTCTCATTAATGCTGTAGTGCAGAAGATTCACTGTTCAGTAAATAAATTGAACAGAAGCTTCGGCAAACGAAGAACAGATTGCAGATTTCCCATTTCTGTCTCCATTATATTTCTGATGTTTGTAAAGGGTTTAAATTTGCGCTCCTGGGACCTGGGTTTTACTATACTTGCTTCGGCACATGTGTTCCCTGCTAGAAGGGAGCAAAATAGCTAGAACTAAATGAATACTGCAAAAAATAACACTGTCTGAATGATTAAGGATTTCTTGACCTTTCAGTCTTTCTATAGTCTTTCTCTTCAGTAATACTTATGTGTGCAAGAGACTCTAAGTGTATATTTCTCAGAAAGAAGCCACATCTTCATTGTCAAGTCTCTCATTTTTCTCCGCCTTTGTAACATTTTCATTCATCCAGCCCTGGATGTGAAACAATACCACATGATTTACAATTGGACATGACATAAATAGTAGAAGCTATAAGAGCAGTGAGTAGTAAACAAGCAGACTATAGGCAGTAATATATCTGAATACAGGATTTTTATGCATGAATAATCCATGAGTTTATAAAGAATAATCTGCTTGTAGACACTTTAGAAATAGAAGACTGATTTAATTCACTAAAGGAGTTATYTACTCCTGCTTCCGAAACAATCCTGAGAAAAAGAATCGCTGTGATTTATAGACGTGCCCAAGCTAGCAGTTGCTATTTCAGAAAGTAAAATGTGGATTCCTTAGGATAGGGCGCACAAATAAGGTATGTACCCCCAGAGCACTTGCGGGGCTGGCTGGAAGGGCCGCTGCTTCCACCTGCTCGTCCCTGTCCTGGCTGGGCAGAGGTGACCTCAACCTGACGGCCCATGCGCACAGAGCRTGTCCAGGCAGTTGATGAGGATTGCACTGGGTCTCGTCCTACGTGGAGACACCACCATCTATTTGTAAATGAACAAAATGAACGAAAGCAGGCATTTCTGAAATAATGACTGCTGTGGGATATTTCTGAGCCTTTCTATTAATTGTTTCTCTTCAGTTGAAAATTTTTTGAATTTGAAGCAGACTTTATCCGTACCTTGACTGATCTGAAAATGATTTGTACAGCTAAGAGTCACTTCTTGCTCTAAACCAGAGGAAAAAAATCCATTAACTCTCCTTCCATCTGAGCTCGCTTCTGCTTCTGATGCATTTTCTTTTGTAGTTTGTAGTGAGCTCTATATCCTTTCACATGAGTTCTCATGTACTTAATAGTAGTACTTAGAAGGAGCTCTCTTAAGATAAATTAATACTGCAGAATGCTTGCAATAAGAAAAACCTYTTACTACTATTAGTAGAAATACTAAAAGCTAGTTTGGGAATGCYTATAAAGGAACAATTGGAAATGTGAAGTTAGGAAAGGATTGTGAATAGAAATTAATGAAGGGATTAGGAAAGTGTGGCAATGCTTCAAACTGAGGTTCCTTATATGTATTTAATTAAGAGTCAGTAAAGCAGGATTTAAATGTACATAAACTGAACACAGTAGAGCCTTGTTAATTTGTGCTTTAATAATTTGCAGATTTTATAATTCATGAAAAAGAAAGAAAAGCACAGAAGCTTCCTCTGCCTCCTCGCAATTGCTTAAAACCAGAGGCTATAGTGAAATTGCCTGTTATTAACACTTGGTTTCTTTGGCAGGTCTGCCAGAAAGCAGTGGCCGGCGTATATGCTTGTGTTACAAGAATAAGGACCAGATCACAGTCAGTAAAATGAAGTAAATTTATAGAGTGTTACCTTTGCACTTCTACTTGCTCACATGGCACCGAGCATAACTCCTGAAGGTTCTCAGCCCTTAGGAGTGGGTCATACTGGAGCACTTGTACTGGGTCGGAGATGCAGGCAATGGTTTGCAATAGCTCTCAGGCATTACAAAGACCAAYGACCACCAGCCCAGAAGCCTGCTCAAAAGGAGCTTCTGAAAGGCCTGGGAAATCCCYTGTGTGTGTTCAGGCCACTGCTGCAGGCCAAGGCACAGAGAACAAGCTGGTTTCAGCTGATGTGAATTTTTCTAAGATGAATCCTCATCAGTCAATTGCCAGCTGTTTTTTTTTCCTTGCCCACTCTGATTTTGTGCACTATATCCARATCAAGTTCAGTCATGCAATTTAATCTCCCTTCCTTTAGATTTGTTTACAGATTAATTGTTTCTGAACTGAAATATAGATCATTGCGGATTATTGTTTGTCACCACTGTTTTCTAAAATGTTTTCCTTTCAGTTCCTGTTGTGTGAATTGATCRTGAGATGCTCCTCCAGAATGAGTGACCTTGAGACATGGCCAGATCAGAAGAGAAAATCACAATGTGACTATTTCAGATGGAGATGTTCCAGCTCTGTTAGTCCTGGCACTCTAATCACCTGGAAACTCTCTAACCCGATATATGTGACAGCCTGGAGTGACACAGGATGTGAGACGGGCAAATTTCTTTACCTGCCAGGTAATTACAGCTCRTGTTATCTTCAGCCAGGAGTTGCCCGTGTAAAGCTGTGGGCACAGTATTCTCGTTCATGTTTCTTCTCCTGTGGGTATATTTGTTTAATCAAAAATGCTTACCTGCAGCTTTCATTTTGCAGCTAAAGGCCCGTAGCAAGGTGGAGGAGCTGGYGTTTGCATTGGGAGGCCAATTAAACCAAAATTAGCATGAACCTGTGCTCGCTAGCTGATGTTTAATGTATGTCACATGAAACAGTACTTTGATAAACCGGCTCCAAGGATTGTTATGACATTTCTTGTCTGCATCCTACAACGTGAGTAAACTGAAGTAACACTGTGCGATTAATAGCCTTAGTATCTCGTGCTTTACTTCCTGCCCTCACCTTTTCCAGGCAGAACTTTTTTTTTTTTTTTTTTTTTTAAAAAGCTCCCCAATTAAACATAACTGTTGTGGGAAGGTGTCAAGGATACTATTTACAGAGTTGTGTAGATATTCTTCTGTTTTGTTTTTATTTTTGCTTCGAATCAGTCTCTTAGCAAACAGCACTATATCCATAGCCTTTACAGTTTGGAATAGTGCAGTTTGCATCGCATTTGAGTGGCAAAGCTAAAATAACAAAAAATAAGGATTTTGACCATGGCAGGTGTTGTAGGGAGTAAATAGAGTGAAGTCTTTTTGTTTGTTTGTTTTTTGTTTTTTTGGTATTGGTCTTTTGAGCAAAGGTAGATTACTCCAGTTCCATTACACTTGCAGTGTTAAAGCTCTAGCAAGAAATCAATAGGCCTTGGCAATGTAAATGCATGCCTTGTGTATGGTTGGTGTTTCTAAAAACATATTTCATGTTACACACTTGCCAAGGTTCATTTGAGCAGAAATTGGTTTACTTGTTTTGTAGGAACATTTTCCCCCCAAACAAGAGAAGGGTAGTTTATCTTGTCAAGAAGGTTTTTCTTCTGCTTCTTCTGTGGCAAATAATGCTTTTTCTCTTCACTTCCTACCTTTGTTTCCTGCTGCATCCTGCAAGGAGGTCCTGCTGATGCCAAGAGGCAGCAGGAAGCTGTTTGGGGATGGASAGGTGCCCTGAGACGTTCTGTAATCTCACCAGCCTGAGCATYAGGACTTGACTGCAGCACTCCCTGGCAGAGAGCAGATGAGCAATAGGACAAAAGCAATGTGCTGGCAAGGAGCTTCTCAAGGATGTAATTAGTAAAGGTGACGTGACAGAGGAAGGGATAGGAAAACCTGTGAAACTAAATGGAACTGAATACACAAACTTGTTCTTGCTGTTGTTTGCTGTTTGTGACTGTAAAGCAAGAACGACTGGGCAGCACCATGTTCGTTTTCTTTAACTAGTGAACTTTAAGGCAAATGCGATTCACATAATTTTTCAGGAATACTCTTTTTACTGGTTGATGCTGAATAGGGGCCTTTTGTGTCCTKCAGGGCTTTCTCATGAAGTTCACCCTTCAGCAATTGCTTGGGAAGGTCTGCCACAGCTGAGAGCAGGGTCTGTGCTCAGGCAAAGCGCTGCCCGTCGCCTGCAGACTCCTCGCAATGGTGTTGGGACCTGCCTTCGGCCTCAGCGTGAAGACATGGCTGCCCATGTAATTTATCTCTTTTTTTACATATTTATGGTGGTGGTGGTAGGAAGGGGGTGTATGTTTTATTAMAGTAGCTATTCAGTAGCAGATGATATTATTTTTATTACTTTTATTATTTTATGATTTAATTTGTGCACCTTAAGGTATAGACTTTTTGAAAAAAAGTTTAGTCTTTTTCAAAATGTTTTTGAATTAGTTACTAGTGGGGTGACCCAATCAGGTTTGTTGGTTTTTTTCTGTGTCTTCCTCTGCCCCCCAGTATGAATGTTCTTGTGAGGATTAAGCTTGAAATAGATTACTTCATGTTGCTATCCATTAGTTGTGCTCAYAAAGAAGCTAAAGTATCTCATTCGCCATCACTTTTTTTTCAGATACCACAATTTATTGGCATGCAACTTGAGAAAAAAAGTCTCTGCATCTGGAGAGATGTATAATGGCTGATATCAAAAGCTGTTCACCAGGCCTCTAAAAACGATGACCTGGGAGCTATCATTAAATTTATTTGCTGAAATGACTCTCTCTTTTCTGCTCTAGTCTASGTACTTTGAGTTTTGTCTGTAGCTAACTCTGCACCTTCTCTATCTGATGAATGACTTATTTCATATGGTCGTGAAACTCACTGCTGCCTTGAATGTCGCCAACTCCCATCTCTGATTCTGCTACTTGGTGAGTGATTTTCCTAATTATAGCATGTTTTTGGAGGGTGCTTTGCATCTGTCCTGCCAGACACAGTCCWAGGAGTCTGAGGTGGAGAGCAGCCAGATGTAATTTTGCAGCTGTCCTGTGAAAATCCCAGTGGCTGAGACCTTGGTGCATGTAGTGATCACAGTTAAATCCAAACCTTCCAAAAACTTAGAGGACCCATCCTGAGTCTTTACGTATTCCCAAATTCCTGAGGATAACAGGTACCCCCCCTCTGAAGAACGTGTTTGCATATGGCCTTTAGGGACTACGGAATGAGCTTGAATCTGTTCCAAGGATGCAGAAAATACTGTTTTCTTAGTCTGCATCTGTAAGTCCTATAAATTATCATTCCCTTAAGTACATTTTCAAATATATACAGATATTTTTGAGAAACATCTGTATCTTTCTTGCAAAAGAAAGTTTTCTGTAAAAGTCATTTCCAACAAGTTAATTATTCTTTCATTAATCASCTCTGAAATGTTCAATCCCCCACACAGCTGAACGGATTAATCTGGCAATGATATATCGAAATAAATCCATCAGAAAACAACATGTTACTTCCTGATATGCATTGTTTGTCTATAAGGAGCAGTATGTGCAAATACATTATTTACCWTTTTTGACTTTATACTGTACTTGCTTAACTTTCATTTCTCTTCAGCCCAGACCTTCTAACCTATGAGTATTAAAGGAAAGAATTGTTTAAAGCCACTTTAAGCTTATCTAAAGAYAGGCCAAACCCCATTTTGGTATAAAAATGGAGCTGATGGCAAGCTATATTTCTGTCTTTGGGACAGTTGAAGCACTGAAGTGCTGGGTTTTGCCATACCAATAACCAGACAGGGACCAGCAGAATRCAGGTCTAGTACCGTGACATGTATTTTTTTTCCTCTACCCTTGGAGAATTTCCCCAGAAGAGCTGAAGCTTGTCGGAAAATTGTTTTCTCAATTGGAACAGTTTAACGCTGCTTCCTCAAAGTGAGTTGAATCTGTTCTGTCCAAGAGCAGATGCTTGTGCTCCTTTCTCCTGAACTGCATGAGTTCATGTCTTAACCTAGCAGAGAGCATTTGAACAGGGTCCTTTTGCCTCACATCATCGGTCGTTCCGGCCAATTTAGTGCACCAGCATATGTGCCAATGCTGAGTGTTGCCTGGCAAAGCCAAGAGCAAGGAGGGAAAAATCTGTATTTGGGCATGGACACCCMCCTCAGCAACATGGGAGTTATACTATGAGCTGTCAGATAAAGTGCTGTCTTGCTGGATACACATTTAATTCTCTTTTCAACTGTCTAGTACATTTAGCTATTGGAATCAGGTTTCTTTCAGCTTGGTCCAGTCAAAGGCAGCATCGGACTGGTCTTGCTAGTTTTATCATATGGCAAATTTACGTGCCTTTGGAAACTGAGCATTGTGCTCATGGCCCTACTTTTGCCTGTTCAGACAGTCATCTCGAGAGAGAGAGAGGAAAAAAAAAAAAGTGTATGTGTATATAGATAATCTCACTGTGTCTGTGAGAACATTTGCTTTTTTAAACCATTTGAAACTAATTTTATCAGGCCGTTTCTCCGAWGAGTTTCTGGTCACATCTTTTATTAAACTCTGTCTGACCCCACTTGTCAACAGAGGTCAGATATATTAGTTTATAGTTCCCTGGCTTCTCATTCACTAAGTGACACCCTCATTGGTGCTGTGCTGCTCAGAGGGCTGCTTTTCTAATAGCCATAGCTGCTTCTGCTCCTTTCTAAGGACAGAAGGTAGAAATGAATCCATCTGTGGAGTCYAGCTTGTCTTACTGTCAGTGTGCAAGCGTGATCTGCTCTGGGCTGTTTGCTGTTGCCTTTAGTCTTCACTTTACCCCTTCTGTAGATGTGCAGCTCTATCACCTCCTGCCTAACTTGAGAGCAACGATAAAAAATGTTCAGTTGTCCCTTTATTTTACATRGGAAACTACAGAAGTGGATCCCAGGCATCCAGAAACTGTCACTACTTGGCGTTGGTGAATTCTGGATGCTGCCTTTCCCAGYAGCAGTTCCGAGCCCCTGGTGCTCTCACCTGCCATGTTAGCAAGCTGGGGTCGGTTKCTCTTCATTTTCCTCCTGCTTTCTGCTGGATGGCACATTTTTCACTTCTGTGGGGTGTTCTGTTCGATTGCTGGATGTTTTGGATCAGGGAACGGAAGAGAGAAAAGTAGAATGGAGAAAATGTGAAGGAAAGARAGGAGATAATTTCTTTTGGGAATTTAGGATGCTCTATCGCTTCTTTGAATAAGACTGCACCTGTAACTGTATGAATCCGTGTTCAGCCACCACTTCAGTGTCATCTCCTGGAAGACATATTCCCATCTTAGGAACAGTCAGCCATCCATCCTTGCTTACACCAGGTCAAACAATTCATTTATCTCTGTCCATTCTGTCAGGCAGCTGCTTCTTGACCCTCGCATGATCCCTGAGTCTGTTCATATGACAAATGTGTGTTACTGTGTCACTGCTGTCGGAGGGCTTTTTCCTTCGGTCTCTGTAAATTTATCATTGTTGTCTCAAGTTAACTCCATAATCATCTTTCCTGTCACTTTTTTTTTTTTTTTAACTCGTATTCTGTATCTTCCTCTTAGTTATGCGCTATTCTGGCTGTCTTTCTCCAAGATTTTCCCTGCAGCTGCTGTAGTTATTGATGAGTGGCTCATCTCACCCCAGTTCACATAATCAGTACTTCTCTTTTTGTTCTCTTGCTGAGAACTTGAGTAATGTACTTTGCAGAAATACGTGGGGATGTTTTGTGCACTTCAGGGCAAACTAGAGGTGAAAATCCCATCGTCTTTTAAAAAGGTGTACATCTAATTTATAGTACAGGACTTTGAAAACTGATGCCTGTGCCACACTCCCTCATTTAGGGAGGAGGAGTAGGGTTGTGTGTGTTGTACAACACTGTGCATGGGGAACACACATGTCTGCAACTCTGGGGAGCACCAGCCAGGCAATTGTCACATGCTGTTACTAAGAATTGCATTTCTGGAGGTTTAAAAACCAAAATAGTCTCTTCCCCCAGCCTCCCAACACAAGTTAGATACAGAAGTCACACCAATGCCTCCTTTTTAAGGCATAGCATAAAAACTCAATAGGAGCAAAACTCCCACGTCTGCAAAGAGTTACTACAACATATGTATCCACTTCTCTGTATGTGTTTTTCATGTAGCTTTGCATTACCCTTTGTCAAATCTGTTGCAGCATCCCACTTAACGTGATTTCCCAGTTTCTATTCATTTCACTACCTAACTAGGCAAACAAAATTCTGCTAGAGGTTATTAAGGAATGCTTAAAACCTTGTTACTAGATTTCTGCMGCTTGCCTTAGCCCTGCCATAACTTATGCCATTTCTCTGAGTGTGAGTTCACAAAGCATTTGAGAGGCTGGGAAGGTTACTGTTTGCCTCTGCTGCTCTGATTTATTTCACAGGATTCATTTTTATCTGGTATGTGTGTGTTTTCTTCTAATGTTCCTGTGCTTTGCTCCAAAAATCAGCTTGTGGAAAACCCACTAATTAAAGATAGTAAAAGGAGAAATACTATGACTTTAAATTTCATGCCAGGTAATTTCTAGCCCATGTGTGTAATGAKGATTAATTCCTTTGTTTCAAGGAACAACCTCCTTTTAGTAAATGGAAGGGGAAAAATCAATTATAACTATGCATTTTCCATGTATCAGATATATCTGTGATTCTCATTTGTTGCTGGAGTTAAAATTCAGACCAAGTTCAACTTTAGTTCATGGGATTTAAGAAAAAAATAGTTCATGAAGTATTTTTTTCCTAGCCTGTTCAGCAGTAGTAGGAATGCAACTGTCTTAACTTAAAAGAATAAAATCACCTATTAAACTTTCCTTTGATAATTTTAGTTCAAAGCTTCTTTTAAATTTTGTTCCCCATCTTCTATTGCTATACAAGTGAGAACAAGTGGATGAAGCCTGCTGAGATCCTGCAGCAGCAGGGACCTGAGGAACATACAGGAATGGTATCGTTTAGAGTGGAGGTAACTGCTTATCATCTTAACCTTTGCAAAGCTTTGCCTTCAGTTACAGATCTACTCGCTGTGTCTTTGCTATTGTCCTGTTGGGGTGATTCTGAAATGCTGTTTGCTGGCAAAAGAGTATGATATATCACAAATGATTAGTGTACTATATGCCAAAATGTGTATACCTATTTTTGGGGGGGACTTTTTTGGCTTTACCAGAGCAGGAAGAAGTTACATTCATGTTCTGCAGGCTATTAAATATCAGAAATTAAGTTTTTCATATTCAAGGGAAATGAAATGCTTTAAAAAAAAAAAAAAAATCACAGCGCCTGGTGGCTTGGCCAGAATACTTACGTGACTGAGGACTTTTTGTCCTAGGCTGATTTGGCTTTTCCATGTGCAGGTGGGTGGCTTCAACATCCTGGCTCTTGACTTGACAGAATCTGAATCTTTCTGCTGCGATTCTGCTGCAACTGTTCCACTCTGAATAAATTCAGTCAGTAGCTCAGCCTTGGCTTCCCATATCTAAGGTAGCTGCACTAGCTCCTTGCTTTCTATAATTAGATCTTCTTTTAGTGAATATTGGTGTATTTGCACAAATAAAAGCATTCCAGCAAAATATTGCACTAACCTCACCTGAAAGAGCCTTCCTCTCATCTAGACGAAAAGAACATTTCTAGACTTCATGCTGGAATGAAAGTCCTTATGAAAAAGTRTAGGCTGGACCTGGGAATTTCCGAATTGATACACTACACAAATAACATTATTTGCTAGTCAAAGCATAATGTCAAATAAGAATAAAAAAACCAATGTCTATCCTGTTTGCAGTTAATGCTTTCTTTATGAGATACTGCTGAGATAGCAATACAGGGGATTGTTTTGTCTTATTGTATCAGTGGAGCATTGAGACGTACCACAGGCAAAAATATTGTGGCACGTAATATGTCTCAATCACATCCTGTTTGAACACTGATAAATAGGAAGTGCTGTGGAATTTACCTCGGAAGGGACTGTGATCTTCAAAAGTCATTGGTTGTAGAACCAGTGTTTTTATTATATTGCTGAATACTTGTACCTATGTGTAAATTGGCAGCAATGTGCTGTATTTCTGCTTGAACACTGCAAAATTTAAGAAGCTGATATTTACAATCATGATGGCCAAAACATGTAAGTTATTGATGCCAAATGGGACAACTAGAGTTTGGTTTTGTGATGTTCAAAAATTACTGTTGTTTCCAGCTCTTGAATGGATATGCACTGTAGCAAGAGAAGAAAACACTTTACTCATATCTTTGTTAAATCTTTTTCCATAGAATCTTGTACCAAATGTTGCAGGGGTGAATGTGATGAATGCAGCGGACCCACAGGCTGCTGTTTTAATCAACTCACAAAAATCAGTTTGCAAAATGAAGTTGTTTAACTTGAAGAATTTATAGCTCTGTTGATCCAGTACATTGCAGCTTTTCTCCCTTACCAAACTAATATCTGGGTTCAAATGTTCACTGTAATGTCATTGTAAGTTCTGATATTTTTACCTCTCCCTTTCTCAAACTGCATTGATTTTCAAAGCCAAGCATTCCATAAATTAGTTGTAGTAAGAAGGCTTATTGTGGAATGCGATATAATTGGCAGCTGATTGTTGATGTAGGAGATTTATGTTGGCCTTACAGTAATAATTTTTTTTTAACTGAAAGCATATGTGATTGCTGCTGTCTAGACTTGGGAACTTTCCCAGGAAGGAGTTCCAGGTGGTTATCTAGCCATCATAGGCCAAATGGCTACCTCGTGAAGGCTTAGACATGGGAAATATGTAAATGTTGCTGGCAACCTCATTATTGCATGAATTTGAGTTTCTGAATTGCAGTGTATCCTTTCACATTTAATCATTTGACTGGCTGATTTCTTTTTCTGTGGATTGCTCCCTAAACAGAACGATGTAAAAGGCAGCTGTGAATAGTTCTCGGTAAGCCTGAATGTCAAAAAGCTTAATTACGTAATGTGCTTAATCCGTTTGTATGCATGCATAACTTGAAATATCAAGTAGTTGCATTGCCATGTTTATTAAATTCTGTGAAATTTAATTTTGTCCATAGTACCTTCAGTTTTCTCTTCCTGYGTTAGTAGACTCATTCTGGAAAGAGCTCAGAACAGAAATATATCTTGATGTTGCACAGTCTGCTAAAGCATGTGCTGATTTGCTCCCGTGCTGATCCCCTAGTTTGCCTTCAGCCAGCTTTGCCTGTTAAAATATCCCTAGAGAGGGAAAGCACAGTTGGTTATCCCAGCATGAACACTCTACAAATATTGTTCTGGGACCCACGTAGCTTGTGACTCACGATGAATATTTTCAGCTCTCATTCTTACTGTTACAATAGAAAATACAAAGGAAAATAAGTAATTTATTAGGGCCTAACTCAGTATGACTTGACCATTGTGGCTCGAACAGAGAACATAGAAAAGCTACATTCAGAGATGGGAGCAGTCCTATTCATTCAGATATCACGTGCCCAGATGGTTGTTCCTTGCTGTGTGTTGTTTTTTAGTATTTTTATTTTTTACTTTACCTGTTAATGTATGTCATTCTTTGCTATCTTATCTGCCTCTGCAGCCAAGTGTGTGGTCCAAATTATTTTAACAGAATGCCTGACAAAGTCTGCCTGCTTGCCTGCCTCAATCATTTTTCTCAACTAATTAGAAAAGTCTGCCAAGCATTGTTGGKCTAAGGCTCTAATTATTCTCAAACAAATGTTTCAATTTTACACAAGCTAGGAAGTGTCTCTATTTTAAATGACTACATGCCAAGATGCCAGAGTCAGAGTCAGACCAGCTTCGTATATCAGTATGTCTGGAAGTCCCAGAGGACCAAAGAGATAAAACTTACGGCAAACCAAGGACTGTGCTGTTACGTGTTCTTCAAGGAAATAATGCTGTAATGCTTCTTTTCTTGTAAATGTTAGTTTTAATGAGAAATAGAAGATGAATTTTCCCACTGGAAATACTTTTTCTTGTGATATTTGTCCTGTTCGTTCTCAGATTCTCTTGTTTCTGGCATTGAATTAAAGGAAGTTTTGTTATTAGTCACACGCGACTGGCCTTTCTAATCCCCTCTCAGGTTTTATAGCCTGCTCATCACAACCTTATTTAAGCGTTGAAGACGACTTTGGCAAAAACATTGGTAAGCCTTTCACTGTAAAACTTGCTGTTTAATATGACAATCTGAAGAACCTTGAATGAATAAGAGCAAGCATGTGATTTGTTTTCCAAGTATTGGTGCTGTACCTGATCCCAGTTCCCATCCTTCCCTGCTCAGAAGTAGTTGTGATCATCCAGAATGGTGCCAGATCATCTCCCAGCCTGAAATGTTCGGGTTGTATTAATTTGACTGTGATAAGATTCCCAGTCTGGTACTTTGCTGCTTCTAACATGATGCAAGTCTCTCCCACCTGTATCGTCACCAATATGTTCAATTCTGCCATTTGCCTTTCAAACCGTTTGCCCCCTCCCRAAAGCTGCTCTGCAGGAAGCAGATAGGTTGCCACATTTAAGGGTAACTTTGGTTTCTGTGTGATCTGCTCATGTATAACCACTAAAARTCCCGGCTTCCAAGAACTGCCTTCCTCTGTTCCTTGAAAGCTGGGAGCTGTTAGGCTTTCAGAGAGAAAAATCTTTTTGTTATGTTCAGAGGATGACAAGAAAACTCGACAGTGCATTTTACAGGGATAGTTGTGGTAGTTTGTTCATGAGCCCACCCTGAAAGCTCTAATTAAAAAAAAATTAACAGTRTATAAAGGAGGAAAAAGAGAATTAAACTGGAATAACAGCAGAAGTTAGAGCCTGAAATCAGCCCCATATATGAATGAAGTATCAGGTAGAGGTCCTTTTATTTCCTCATAAGCAAGGATGTTCTGGGATCCATTTCACTCTTTTGACACTTTGGTAAATTTAGATAATTCCAAGCCTTAGTCAAGTTGCCAGAGATGAAACTTGAGTACCTGTACACATTTTAAGTCCTTTTGCTTTTATGAAAATGTCTGTGAAAGATTTGATTCTTCTTCCCTTGGGTGAAATGAAGATGTATGGATGATCATCTGAGCAGACTAAGTCCAGYTGTGTGGCTTTGCTCTATAATAACYTTTTTACATTGAAGGTTTTGAGTTTTATAGGCAATCACATATTCTTTAAGTGAAAGCTCTATGTTCTAAGAATATTTCCTATTTGGTTTATCTGCTTGAGCAAGTTTGCTTGGAGTGGAATGGAGAACCAGGGGGAGTAACGTTCCATTGTAGGTACATGAGTGTTATGTTGCTTTAAATCAAACACATTTTATTATACAGAACCCGTTGCTTTCTTTCTTTCATGATTCATTGCTCCAATTATACACRATTCAATGGACACTTAACTTGTATTTTATTCTATATTTTTCTCTTTTGGGTAGAATCCCTTTGGGAATAGTTTTCTGATCTCTCTCTCTCTATATTTCTCCCACCCTCCTCCTTGCCCTCTACACACGTAGAGTGTTAAAATACATACAAGTGAAATAATTTGGAACAGACTTTCTTATTTTCTCCCCCCTTCTCTAAATGAATAGCCATTCAACAGCTTGTTAATTCTAAGATTTGCACTTACTATGCAACTATAAGCAAAATTAAGTTCTAAGCTCCTTTAATATGGTTCATCATTTTCGACCTGATTCCAACTTCTTCAGAGCCTCAGTCTTAGGTTGCTTTCCAGCAGTTTGTATAAAGTAATTTTAACATGAGAGAACAACGTTTTACGTAGGTTAGCCATTAACTCACCCTCAGGGGCATGGAGTGCAACGCATGCGAGATGGTAGCTGTCAGGTACATGACTGCACATAATACTAATCTAATAACACTCCCTGTGATGGAAGAAGGGGAGAAGCAAGGGAGATTTGCTGGTCTAGAGAGAGCCCCCTGCATTGCACTGGCAGCAGGGACAAGTCAATAAATGGAAGAATTAATTCTTCCATTTATTAATCTTTCTGGGAAGTCTTGCTGTTCTCTGACATGTTGGTGAGGCTGCCACTGTGCTGGGCAGGGAGTGTTCAGCCTAAACGGTTGTGAAGGTCATAGCTGTTGGCCACTGTGCCACCATGTTATGTAACCCAGTAGGGCACAACTATGAAAAGTGATTTCTTGAAAATCTTGTCACTATATTTTGTCATTTCATGACTGATTGAACTTCAAACATATGCTTYGTATTTAAAGATGAATCTTTTGTCTTAGAAAATTGCAGTGTGGAAACTGAATTTACTGCTTGATAGAGGTACTTGGCACTACGCAACAGTCCCTCTCTTCTCTTCAGTAGGAATATCTCAGTGCCCCAACCTACAAAAATGACTCAGCTTGATACACAGGGCTTCAGCTGAAAATGAATTTGGTTGCAATATATAATTGAGCAGTGGAGTGAGCCAGTTGTAAAATTATGGAGTTGATTTTAAAAGTTGACACAAGCATTTAATGTTCTATATTTGGAGCGCCTAGTTTAGTGGCTGTAATGGACATTTATAGATGCAGTGATTTGAATTCCCTCTGTGGGTTTGGCAGATAGGTTTGAAAGTTGTTTCATTTTTCTGTGTAATTTTCTTTTGGCAGGAAAGTGTGTAAGGGTGGTCAATTTGTCTCTGTTTATAGGTGCTGAAAAGTTTTTGGGGGTTTATTTTTAATTCCACTTATTTAAAAATTGCATGATGCACTCTCTTGCCAAGAATTTTCAAGATAATTTGTATGTCTGTATCATCACTTTTTCTTACAGAAATTGGYTTTATTGATGCATCGCAAGCTATAGTTAGAAATACTTTGGTCAAAACTGAGCATTGAAAAGTTCAGTCATCACCACCACTTTCTAGAAAGTCATGCATTCCATGGCTTTGATATGTCATAGAAACTTACTGAGTTATTTAGTAAGGTAACTAWTTTTTGGATGTGTTTTCTCCTATGTACATCACTTTTAATATGAATTTAATGTTAAAAGATGATCTATAAATATATATTTTCAAGATAGTTGAAAAAAGATGAGCACTCTGAACACAGGCAAGAAAGAAAAGTTCTGGTTGTTTCCAAACAAGATTGAACTTGCATTCACAAGAGAATCACAAGTTTTAAATCACAAGAGAAACTTGTTTAAATGTGAGTTTAAAAGCTAAGCGTTAAGTGCTGTGCTGAGCTGAGGCCCAAGGCCGTGGCTGGTGGCAGCAGGGTCTGCTCTGTCCAGCAGGTCTCCTGGCAGCGGGAAGGAGCAGCTCTGC